GACCCTTTTGGTCTTTCCTCAAGTAGAAAGCTTATTCCTCCTGCCAAAAGCAAGACACGTTTTCTAGCTTTTCTCAGCTCATTCCTCCGAGCAGAAGCACCTTCAAAGCTCATTCATCCAAACACACACACACACAGTGAAAGTTAGAATAATTAAAAATTTGTTTCTTAGCTTTTCTTTTTTTGTATTTTTTTTTTTTTTTACAAATTGCATTCAGACCACATAAAAATATCTATTATTGAATTAGAGTTTAGAATATAGACAAAAAAAAAGAGAAAGATTTAAGCGAATCAAGTCTTGCTTTTCTGGCTAAGAGAGAATTTTATTTAAACAATACACACATAGCATAAGAGTAGTTTATTATATGTGGTTGTAAAGTTACTCTTTAGAAGTAACACAATGATGCTCTCCACGTTATGATGGTATATGATCAAATATTAAGTCACCCAGTAAAGTAGCTATTAACTAGTATCAAGGTTCATCTTTGTCTTCCATCAATTGCTACTTATACATGGCTTCTCCACAAATTCAAATGAGTGCATAACGCATCTGTTTGGTCCGATGATAATTCAGTCCCCGTCAATTTCTATGATCTAATTGAATCTGTCTCCTTCGACCAGTAACAGGTAAAGATTTGAATAGAAAACAGTCCATATAAAGAGTGGAGGAGACGTCTAAAAACCTCAAAGGTTCGACATAATCTCTGCTTTTGACTAAACAAAATAGTAACAGATTTGATTCTCCAATAGAGAATAGCAATAATCATGCATGATATCTAAAAAAATTTGACCTAGGCTTTGCTTAGGTGTTGGATGATTATAGATGCTTGATTGACCCTTTTTTATGTTGTTTATAGATTCGTCTTTTCTTTCCTGTGAGGCCATGTATGAATAGAATCACAGGAGCTTAAAACATTACCCAATGAAAGTGGCAAACAAGGCATGGATATTGCTTTCATTACAATTTTCCGCATATTCTCGATCACTCAGCATCACTTTGATTTTGGCTCGTCAATTTGGAACAGTGTAAAGAGCCATCAATATGTCATGTTGTTGGCTATTTTGGCAGTACATTTCACCATCACCCTATGCTTTTGGCATAAAGTATAATTGTACCAAATATACTGCTTCGTTGGCTTTTCACAAAGCTCTTCTTGTTATTTTTATTGAAAACAACTCCTAAGGTACATGAATGAGGCAAAATGCCTTGGAAATAAAAAGAAGGAAAAGGGCCCTTTTTAATGATTTGACAACCGTGTTTTTATCGATTTTGTCTAATTTCACTAGGTATACATTCATAAATTTAAAACATAAATTAAATATGAAACAAATTTTTATGAATCTTATACACCTGGTGTTAAAAACTATGCATACACAATGATATGAATCTTGCAATTTTTTTTTTTTTTTTTTACCAATCATGACTATGAACCTTTTAAGAAGAAGCCATCAAGTGACCATAGAAATTGGCACGAAATTTGTTCATCCTTGTTCGTAGAAATTCGGCACTAATACAAGCAAGGTAAAAGTACTATTCAACTTTGCTTCTTCTCAATCAAAGGAAGCGTATTGAATAAATCTTAGGGATGCATGAACTTAATTTCAAACAACATTTTAGCTAAAGAGGGGGCTTCAAACTTTTAAACGGGTTGACGACGAAAGAAAGAAGTCGTGCATCACGTATACCCAGGTTTTGCATATGACTGAGCTTTCTTTCATTTGGATATTCCTCCTTCTAAAAAGACAGTCAAAATTAAAGATGGAATTCATGGGATAGGAATACCTTGAGCAATTACAAATTAAACCCACGAAATAACCATAAAGTCAAAACATGGGTGTGTGGAAGACGGAAGAACTTAAAAATCTATAAACCAAACTAACGCGTTACATGTTTTTTCAAGTACAAAAAACATGGGTCTTGTTATTTATTTGTTTGTTTTTCGTGTCAAAGTTGATCTCCATTTGCGCAGAACCGTGCCGTGTCCGACGAGAAGAAGGCGTCCCTTCGGGGATGGGACATCCGATAAAATTGGAACTAGGGATGTAATCGAGTCGAGTCAAGTTCGAGTATAATTGGAACTAGCGATGTAATCGAGCCAAGTCAAACTCGAGTATTGCTATACTCGAGCTTGACTCGACTCATATATATCTAGGCTCGAGTTCAACCGAGTACAAAAAATCGATACTCGAAACTTGACTCGAGAAACTCGCTTTAAACTCGAGACTCGACTCGATAAAGCTCGACCTTTAGTCAAGTCTTATCAAGTCGAGTCTAATCAAGCTTTTTTACTCGACTCGAATGTAAATTCCGTAAAACTTATACCCATAATGGTCATTTTATAATTATAATACATATATATTATTTAAATTATAAATATATTATTTAAATACTCCCAATTCGACGAGTAGCTCGACAAGTCTCGAGCCTCAAAATATTAGCTCGAAACTCGACTCGAATGACAATCGAGTAGCTCGAGACTCGGCTCGAACTCGGTCGAGCTCGGTCAACCCGAGTTCAAGCCAAGCCGTTGACCGAGCTACTCGCGAGCTACTCGATTATGATTCGGCTCGCGTACATCCCTAATTGGAACGGAAAGAAGGCAATTCCCAATTTCATAAGGACAAAATTTGGGTAGATGTAATTTTAAAGGATCAATGATTCAAATCGTGCCACACCATTGAGATAATGCAGTACAATCTGAATTATTGAATTTTTGAAGATCGAGTCTATTCAACAGCAAGTCATTCCATGATCAGACTAATATTTTGATAAGTATTTGATAACCAGAAAAAAAAGGGAAAAAACTGAAAAAAATGGTCAGCTTTGACATAAGCCTGGAAATCATCCTTACTTTTTACTGTCGTCATACCAAAAAAAAACAGAAAAAGAAACGAGTTTCATGTGGGTTGAAATTGAATTACTCGATGACTTAGTAACTAATGGTGAGAAGATGATGCAAAGGATCATAATCAACACCAATCAAAATAAAAATCAGGAATTTACAGCATTGCTTGTTAATTTAAAGCACAAGCTTAAAAAGGACTCGGTATATGTTTCATTAAATCATCATCCAATTAAGTAGAGGATAAGTCTGATTTGGGGTTTATTCTTTGACAAATGTTTGCTTCCCTCCCACAAGTATAATTCTCATGGAAGGGGTGCCTATATATATAAATATATATTGTAAATCTAATTTTATAAATATATATAATAGTTAATACTTAGCATTCTCAACAACTTAGCCAATAAATCTAATTTTTTTGTTGCTACCAATAATGCATTACCTTGCCTTTATTAAGGAAACACTTCGCTTGTTTTAGTTGATTCAACGTGATCATATTTTGACATTCGAGAAAAATTAATGCATCACCTTTGCTACTCATTTATTGAAAGAGGCCTCTACTCAAGTTTCAAGGATCATATCAGTCAGCTACCGGATGATGTTCTAGTCTACATCCCTGTCTGTCCTAACCATTAGAGAAGCTGTTAGAACAAGTGCTGTGTCCAAAGGGTGGATAAATCTGTGGACGTATGTATTCTCCTCGTATTGATTTTGATGGTTATGGAGCATTAGACAAGCTAGGCACCTCATGGAAACCAGAAATGGAAGCGATGAGTTCACTCGAAAATGAGAGAATCGAGATGGTGAAATGGGTGGAAAATGTATTGAAATCGCAAGAGGCCTCCGAGTTGGAGGAGTTCACGATTCATTTTTGTTTGGGCGAAACTTCTTGATAAGCTATTGATGAATGGCTTCAGTTTGCGTTTGCTAGGAAGCTGCAAACACTGGATTTGGACATCACGAGTAGGTTCTCAGAACCTCTTACTTGTGCCTACCGCGGGCTTGACAGTGCACTGATCGACTTAATGTGCCTTAAAGAACTGGTTTTGAAAAGGGTCATCAACTGCCAATTTCTTGAATGTCTGCTGGTACATGAATCGGATGATTTGGTAAATGTGGAGGTTTCTGCTCCATTTCCTGCACTGAAACACCTGGAGATCTGCTTCTGTCTTAAATTGGAATCCCTCATCGTGTGCGATGCGAATATGGTCTCACTTGAGATTTCTCCCCCTGTAAAACTAATGTCCCACTGCTTGTCGAAGTAGAGGTCTGGCAGGGATGGCATGATAGCATCCTCAAGAATGGTTCTTCCCGGACTTTCCTGCTGCCTGTCAAACCTAGAGGTTCTTAAAGTATCTAACTATAAGGAGGTTAGCCGGCTGGAAGCAATTATTTGCTTCTTGAACTTCCTCAACTTCATCGACTGAAGCAGTCAGTCCTGGAAGTTTCAACATGGAAGTAGACATAAGATTGCTTGGATGGACTTCCTTGATTAGGGGATTTCCCAAAGAAGTTAGGGGTAAACTTGAAATGGCCATTGGACACAGGCAGAGTTAGGGAAATTAGAAAGTTAGACAAAAGTTATAGATTATCCACTCCAACATCTTAAAGTTAACAACAGGATGCTATGGACATGCAGGTGAGCTTCAACTTGTCAAGTTCTTCTCTGAAGATGCCATTACCCTTAATAAAATTACAGTCGATCCGCGAGACTCTTTCTGCTTACGAGGATTGCCATTACAAACGTCCATGGCAAAAATGGAATGAACAATTTGCAAGAGAATATGTTAAAGAACACCTAAAAGGAGCAACACATTCACACGGGGAGTTAGAAAGAGCACCATGCTCCTGATCTCTCTTCTATATCTGAGTAGTATTTTGTTGCCCTAACGTGAGATTGTTTTTAACAAGCAACATTTTAAGAGAGAAAGAAACAATACATGCAACTTCTGGATACTAGTTCTCAACAACCTTGTTCTTCTAAATCTTCACATCAACTGGACCAACCTTCGTTTACAGCACCATGACCTTTTATTTTTTTTCATTCTGGAAATTGCTATTCCAAATTGACATTCTACTATCTCTCAAATTTTAGTCCAGAGAAAAGTTATCCATGCATTTGATCAATTTATCAAGTGCAAAAACAAGAAAACTAGGATGTTCCACACACAAAGTGAAATTCATTGATGTAGAATACTTGATCAATCAAGCGTACAAGTGGTGCCCACCACATTTAGCTGAAAGAAAATCCCAAATTTAGAAGAATAAGCTTTCCAGACACAAACAGAGCGAGAGTGTGCTGAAAACAAAAGGTACTACTATCATTGCAGTCGGCATTTAGCATCAAAAGTATGCAAGCCAACCATCTAGAACAAAGAAGGCACCTAAAGGGAAATCTCTAACTTTAAAAATGTTATAATAATTTAAAATAAATGACAAGATACAATGAAAGGGAGAACAAAGCAAACAAATGCTGCCAGAAGAGAAGCGCTGAGGACTCACTCACTGCATAACCTCTTAAGCTGGCAATTGCTCCCAATAAGATTGCACTTGGTGTTGTGTACTGCAACAAAAGCACAAATCTAAACATTTTATCATCATGAACAAGGATATGTAGCTTATCAGCCAAAGCCACAATGCCAATCCCGAGTAGAGGAAGCACCAGCAGTCTTGCCACAATGATACCAATCATGGTACGCAGCCCAAGTCTAGATTTATTGGGCCCCTCGGCAAGCATACCCCCGAGAATAAGCATCACAGAGGGCACCATAGCACCAGCTAAGATCCCGAAGCTGTCAGTAATGAAAGCCAGAGGTGCATCACTCCCAAAAACAAAAGCCTTGACCTGAGGAATCATGCCAATAATTATGGCTAACAAAGAAGCAGCTGTTGGGGGTTGAAGTATGGACCGTATTGGCGTGTGTTCAGCAACAACTTTAATCTTTCGGACAACTCGGGGTGCTGCTAGACACCTAATGGACTTAGGACTATCGGTGTTTCCTTTACTTGCGTTTTCAACATCTGGGAGAGTCATCTCTGATACGTTTGAGATACTCTTGAAAACATTAGCAATAAAAGGTGTTTTGGAATGTTCGGTTTCTTTGTCCTCAATGCCAGGCCATTCAGCTTCCACAAGGAGAGGTCTACTGATATCGGCACTCTGTGGTTGCTCTTGCTCATCATTTTGACCCCCTTGTTCAAGAATTTCATAATACTGCAGTGGAGGTTCCATCATATGATACACAAAAGTGTAAACGAGTATCACAGCAACCCATTGAGCAAACGAGGCATAAGACACGCCTCTATTATGGCAATCAGGTCCAAAGGGATTATCCTCATTATGACAAACAGTACCAACAATCGCAAGATGAAGATTCCCAGTATTACCAAATGCGGTCATAATGATGGTGAATCTAGTCAGCTCTGGAGGCGGGCGACATATGATTACTACTAAGAACCCCAAAATGCAACCAACTACAGTGCTAATTAACACATTAACAGGAATAAACCACCAACTTGTGAAGTTTGCAACCGTAATAGATTTCCCCAATTGAGTAAAGATTAGACAAGGCAGGAAAAGTACAAAAACTAGCTTGCTGAGTAACTTGAATGTTTCCTTAGGGATAATCTGTACATTCTTATGAGCAAGAACTAATCCAAATAACGTAAGCGACAGGAGTTTCAGCAAAGGGAATACAGCATCTACAATATCCTCCTCCCTAGATTTTATGTTGTCATTATATATCTCAGTCAAATACCGCGACATCTTTTCCTCAAACAAATTTATACCAAGATCAATATCTTTCCCTTTTCCAGAGTATCAACAATATCCTTCTGCTATCTTCTGCTACGAAAGGAAAAGAAAAATTCGAAAAATTAGCAAAACATGAATGAGGCTCAACCACCGATAGAAACAAGCCAACAAACCAAATACAAATTGTTTAAAATCAAGTTCTACAGTAATTTAGTCCAGTAGAAGAGCTCAAGAACACAATTGCAGCAATAAAGCTAAGACAATTAAAACGCAACAGTAAAACATTGAAAGCAAAAAAATTTTTTCAAAAAAATCAAAAGTTAATGAGGGCTTCTGAAGATTAATTAGAATACAGGAATTGGTGTTAAGGGATCTAACGAAATCAACAGCATCCTGGAATTTGACATAGGATCGCAAATTGAACTGATTTGAGCAAGAATTTAAACAAAGATGAGAAGCAAACACCACAATATAATCACAGAACAACAAACTAGAGCACAAAAATCAGGAACAGAAATAATAAAAGAATCACAAACCAATTAAGAAAATCGAATCTTACCTTCAGTAGTCAAAAGGGCTCGTCTTAAATCCCACAAACTGCCAAAAAACAAACTTCATACAAGGACACCAGAAACATTCAAGGAAAGAAATTTCCTGGAATAAATGGGAATAATGGGTTCTTTCCGGAAGGAGTCTCACAGGAATAATTTGATGAAGTTGCGTTAATTTTTTTTCTTCTTCTCCTTTTTCTTTTGATTTTTTAATTGGTAACCCACTCAGGAAAGCAAGTTGAGAATGATGGTGACATCGAGCTTGAAGCCACAAGCTTTTTTAAAGGAAGGAAATAAAACACAGCCGTCAATGTCAACGGAAGAAGAAGGGAAAATGGAATTTTCTAGTTAATTAATTCGCCAAATTACATAAACTAATGGGATGGAAGATCCGATGTGGTGCGAGAATCCATGGATAATGACGTCATCCATAGTTTGTTTGAATAATGAATTATTTGTACAAATTTATTTACTTATATATATATATAAAAAAGTATTATAATATTTTTTTATCAAAATTTTTAATAGTTAAATTTTGAATAGGGGAGGAGTTGCGTGAGAAAGTAATGTATAGGACAATAGAATAAAAGAAGATGAAAATCCCACTTTGAGTAAGCTAAGAAAATTTTTGAGGGAAAATAAAATTGCTGATAATAGTGACAATTATTCATATTTTCGTGTCTAACCAACTATTTTCTTTCAATTTTCTGCATAATTCATGAGATACAAAAAAGTGCAAAAAAATTTTTTCCCTGCTAACCAAATACTAATATATGGACTAAAAATAACCAATTCTTTTAAAATTTTTTCAAATTTTTCCGTGTAATCAAACACTACACTGTCGGGCGCGAGCGTTAAAATCTACAGTTGCAATAGAATTAATCTCTATTGTATTCATAAGGGCCTTCCAACTCCAGTCTGTCGTCAAAATGAGCAGCAGCATGCCCATGATTTTGGCCCAACTTTAGTCCATTTAATGTTATCTGGCCCAGGATCTGATTTTTGTGCTCTTGGCCCAGATTCTTAAGCCTAGGCCAGTTATTTTTAATCTCCCTTTCTGTTTTTTCTTTTAAGACTTTTGCCTTATTTTTATTACTAGGAAAACTATCCAAACTTTCCGAAGATTCTTTTTCTAGATTCTTTTTGTTGGAAAATAATATACTACACAACACATGATTTTGTGCGATGAAAAACAAAGTAGAAGATGAATCTATCCTTTTTTTGCCATTTTCATGTCTGAGTCGCTTAGTTTTTGGAAGAATTTTTGTAGATGATTTTTTTCTTTCAAAGAAAAAGAAGAGAAAAGAACAAGCGAGGAGGTGGATTAAGACAGTTGTAATCGAGCTCTGAGCCTCTAAACTACTGGATTACATCAATTTTAAGTGTTATATGCAAGGTTTTGGTGCTTACTTAAAGTCTTCTAAGTATTTTATTTAAAAAAAAATTAAAAGTTAATATGTTCGTTTATTTGTTGATTGCATATCCATTGCATGTACTCGGTTTTAAAGTTATTACCATTTGAGTATTTACTTATTGATTCTTCATATTCAGCCTGCCCAGAGTTTGGGAATATGTTAAGAAATTGTAAGGCAATTTCTGATTGGATGAAAGGTGTTATAACTTATAAGCCAATCTTAATTTCTTCTTCTTCTTCTTTTTTTAGAGAAGGAATTTCTTTTTTGTTCTTCATCAAGAAATGTAAGAACTAAAATAAGAACCAAAAAAAATAGTAAGAACTAGTAATTCATCTTAAGAGTTAGGATTCCTACTTGACAGAAAAACTCTGCTTGGAATTCAACTTAGGATCGCCCTTAATTTACACCGAACTAGAATGTATGTACTTGTTGAAAACAAAACAAAAAGATCACATGCTGTGTGAAGGTCTAAACAGTGAGAATGAACAAAAATTCTGGCAAGCAAGCGAGCAGAAGAGTAGCAGAATCCAACAGGCAAAGAAGTTGAGTTGACAAGTGAAATGATAACTCGAGAATGCTTAGCTAAACTCTGTCGGATTCTCAAGAATTCATCAAAAGGTCCCACTAAAAAGGAGGAGGAGACTGCGAGTCATCTAATCCATCAATAACTTTTTCAAAGGCAAAAAAAAGTTTCAGCAAAAACTCGAGAATATAATCTTCCTTCTGCAAACAAGGACGATATGCACAGTATTCCCTCTCTAGTTAAATTTCGACCAATTCGATGGATCATTGCAAGTTCGCCACCCTCAAGTGTTGTTTAATAAACCCTTCGAGGCATTGGGATCTTTAAGGATGTGGTTGGAGAGGGACTAGATTGGTTAGGACAGTGAACCAGCCAGTTAGAATGACTTTACTATAAATAATAGGGTTAATCGCACTTTATCCCCTTTAAGTATAGGCTGTTTCTCACTTTACCCCCCAACGTTTGTTTTTCCTCAGTCTACCCCAAAAACTAACAGTCAACTCTAATGGACATAAACGGAATATTGAAAAGACAATAATATCTTTATGAAAACATTGAACAACCCAAAATACCCATATACGCTGGTTTATGAAATGCAAGTTTCCAAAATTACCCTGAAATAATGGAGGGAAATTTCCCTCCATCTGGCATGGGACAGAAAAAGAAAAAGAAATTAGGGAACAGAACAGACAAAGGTCCCCTTTTGACTATGTCGGGTCACTTTCTCTTCCTTTTTTTCTTTGTCGGGTTACTTTCTCTTCACTGGTGCCCGAAGCCTTAGCAAAACGTCCACTAACAAAATTGAAAATTCTGGTGCAATCTTGAATGAAAAAATGGGTAATTGATGTGGTTGTTAACAGACGGCAGAATTGAATTTGAAGATTGTGAAAGGAGATTATGAGAGGTTGGGCAGATCTATGAGGTTCGATTTTGCAATTTTTTCTCGATTTTAGAAATTTCTAATTGTTAATCAATTTTATTGCACAGAAACAATGGTATGGGTTTTTTTAATGACTGCATGGGCTTTAATATGTAGACAATTATTTGTTTGAAATCTGTTAGTGTGGTCCCTTAAAGTTCATAACAAGTCATTGTCGGGTTAGGATGGAAAACGATGGGTTTGTCTTTTTTAATTATTAATTTGCTGGATTTTTTGTTTATTTGGATGGTTATATGTTGGCTATTAGATAGACAAACTAGGATTTTTTATTTTTGTGGGACAATAAAAGATACTTGCTCTGTATTACCTGTGCATGCACTAAAAACAATTACCTTTGTGTGATTACAGAAGAATGGACTTCAAAACCTATGTTTTAGAGGTTCACTACGGAGGCCATTTTGCCTATGTCCCAAATTTACAGTATGTGGGGGGAGAAGTTGCTAATTTTGATGATGTTGACCCTCATTTGATGTCAATTTTTGAGTTAAGAGATGCTTTTAAAGATGCTGGAATATCACATGAAACAGAGGTGTACTATAGGGTTAGGAATCTTGACTTTAAGGTTGGTCTTAAACTGTTAAACAGTGACCAGATTGTTATAGAAATGTTTGAGGTAAATAGAACTCAAAACATCATACAACTTTATGTTGGTGAGATCCCTGAAGAAGATTTGCATGCTGATAGAACTGTTGCAGAGGATAATATTGAGGTTAATGGTAAACAAAATCTAAATCCTAATGCTGATCAACCCCAAAATGATGAGGCCGAAAGTGATGCTTCAGATGCTTCACAGGAAGGTGATAGGGATGGTTGTAGGGAAGTTGAATATGACTCTGACTTTGATTTTTTCCTAGATGGGGATGATTTAAATGACGCATGTGACCCTATAGATGATGTAGAGAGGGATGGTGGTGAAGTAGATTGTCACCTAAAACAGACTGATTATGCTAAGTATGTGGCATTGATTAGTGAAGAATATAATGCATACCTTAACTCCAAAGGTCATGGAAAACTGGTCGATGATGAAGATGTTAGTGATGATGAAATACTTAAACCAGTTTATGATTCAAATGATGAAGGCATGGAGCATGAATTTCCTGAGTTTAACATGGAAAGGGATCTAAAAAATCCTGAATTGACTGTAGGCAGAATTTTTAGCAATATTTATGATTTTAGAGCTGCAGTTAGAATGTATTCAATTTTGAATGGGTTTGAAGTTACCTTCACTAAGAATGACAAAGATAAAGCTGTGGTTATATGTTCAAATAAATATGGATGGAGAATATATGCTAGTGGCTATAATGGAAGCAAAGTTACACTTCAAGTGAAGTCCATTAAAGGCGTACCTCATAGATGTCCATGGTCTTTCAAGAACAAGAGTGCAAATTCTAGGTGGCTGTCTAGGATGTTTATGGAGGAGATTGCTGACCATCCGGATATGAAAGTAAAAGGGTTCAAGAAGAGCATAAAAAGGAAGTATAACCTGAACTGTACAAACTCTCAAATGTATAGAGCAAGAGAGAAAGCAGAGGAAGCAGTGAAAGGGTCATGTGCAAAGCAGTATGCAAGATTAAGAGACTATTGTGCTACACTTTTACAAAGAAATCCAGGTTCAGTGGCATTTATTGTAACTGAAAAGTCCAATATTTGTAAAAGTCCAATCTTCAAGAGAATGTTTGTGATGTTTACTGCACAAAAAGAAGATTTTGTAAATGCATGTAGGCCTGTAATAGGACTGGATGCATGTCACCTTAAGGGGATCATGGGAGGACAGCTTATGTCTGCAATTGGTAGGGATGCTAATAACCAGATGTTCCCAATTGCTATGGCACTTGTTGAATCTGAATGCAAAGATAGTTGGGGGTGGTTTTTGGACAGCCTTACTGATGCCATTGGCACTCCAATTGAAAGGGGTTGGGTGTTTCTATCAGATCGACAAAAGGTCAGCACCACTACAATCTGATTTACTTTCCTTTATTCCTCACTCACTCCTTTCACTAATTCTGTTATTTATGTTTTTATGTCAGGGATTAATTGATTGCATTGAGAATAAGTATCCTGGAGTGGAGCATCGATTCTGTGTTAGACACATGTATGCTAATTTCAAACTGAAATTCAAGGATAAACACCTAAGAGATTTAATGTGGGGGGCAGCCAGGGCTTATTTACCCTGTCATTATGAAAGCAAAATGAGAGAGTTACATTTAGTAGCCCCAGAAGCACATGCATGGCTTAGTTCCATACCAGCTAACCTATGGGCCAGACACACCTTTTCTCCAAGGACAAAATGTGACCTTTTAAGTAATAATATATGTGAGAGCTTCAATCAATACATTAAGGATGCTAGGGAAGAGCCTATTTTGACTATGTTTGAGGCCATTCGAAGACAGATTATGTGCAGATTTCAAGAAAAAAGAGACTGG